TAAAATAATATCTTATTTTATTTATTTTGGTGTCCTTATATTTTATATATATATATATATATATATATATAATATTGTTTTTACTATTTTATAGGAAAAAAAGACAAAAAAAAACTAAAATGATTGTTGATTTAACTGAGTTAATGGGTTTATTTTAACAATCTTAGTCAGAAAGACTATTACCAAGACAAATTAAATACCATAAGAATTAAACTTCGTAATAAACATATCTTAAGGACCAAATTCATAATTAACTCTTAACTATTTTTCCAATTTTTGTTTCTTTTATTTTAATTACTACTACATATTTTTATATTTATTTAATAATTTTAAAAAATAATTCATCAAATACAAAACCCATGATCCTATTTTTAAGAAAATTATGCCATTATCAGGATCCAAAAAATGGAGTGAGATCTTGAAGATGAACCAAATTTAAAAGTTGATAATGGGTCCAATTTTTTAAAAATTAATTATCAGAAATTTTTAAAGAGAATTTATTTAGAATAAATTACCCAACAATAATAAAAAAAAAGTAAACAAGATTAATTAGAAAGATAATCACTAATTGATAGATATAATGAAATATAAATTTCACATTAAATCTCCTTTGACCATCTTTTAAATTTTGTATTTAAATACCAAATTTAACCTCAAATCATTTAGTTGTAAACGAAATTTAATGCAATGAATAGCGTTACATTAAATTTGATGTAACGCTATTTATTTACGCAAATAGAAAAAGAAAATTAGAAAATACCTAAAATTTGACATTTCGATCTGAGATTTAGTATTATTTATTGGAATAAATTTATTATCTGCATCATAATTTATGTTATCTATTGAACAATCCTCGTACTCTTAGAGCACCTAATAAATAGAAAAATTGTTGGAGAAAATTATAGTAAATATTTTAGAGGTATTATAATTAGGGATAATTAGTGATCCTTAATCGTAGATTAATTAATTAATTAATGGGATATAAGTGAAAAGTAGTGCTATGGATGTTTGTACGGTACGATTGGTACTATAAAATTTGAAGGAATGTGATTGTGAGGAGATCATGGAGCGATCCTGAATTTACGGCCCACATGACCTCACAAACATGTCTCATTATTCTTTCTTAAACTTTTTAAATATATTTATTTTTATTATTATTAATTTGCAAATTCGTATTATAAATTTAAGTACTTTAATCTATATTATATTATAAAATATTTGACAAAACTTTTAAAAACTATTTTTTATGCATAAAGTACTGTTTATTAATACATGTTACTTAAAACTCAAGATTACAAGTAGATTGTGCGTAAGTACAACTTATTAAAGCTCTATATCTGAATTTGTGTAACTAACTGCAGATAAATATAATCAAATACAAAATAAACATCTCATTTAAATATAAAAAATCTAAAATATAATTAGGATAATCATTAAGTTTTAACAGAATACTTGATTATTATCTTTATAAAATATTATACTAGAAGCGTACTTGCGCAATGCAGCGAGATAGATCGTGATTTTAATATTTCATTATATTTTTTATCTCAGTCGATGTTATAATATGGCTTTATATTATTTTGAGAAAGCGATGATGTTTTTATTTTTGAATAAAATATATATTTGAAGATATCATAAAAATTTGACAAAAATATATCGATATTAATATCAAATTAACTATTTGAAATTCCTCATTTTTTTKKKWATTTTTTAATTCAATTTTTTTATAATTTAATTTATGTACAATAACGAAGTAATTTATATTTGATTTAATAATATAATTTTTTATAAAGATAATAATTATTTATTTTGTTGGAACTAGATAATTATTCAAATTATATTTTAGATTTTTTATATTTTAAAATTAGATGTCCATCCTCTATTTGATTATGTTTATCCGCGGTTATTTATACGAATTCAAACATCGAGCTTTAATAAGTTATACTTACGCATAATTACTTGTAATCTTGAATTTTAAGTAATATGCATCAATATACAGTACTTTATGCATAACAAAAATATATCGATATTCGTATTAAATTAACTATTTAAAATTCCTCATTTTTTGTGTAATTTTTTAATTCAATTTTTTTATTATAATTTAATTTAGATATAATAACGAAGTAATTTATATTTGGTTTAATAATA